GCACTAATTTAAACAAAAATACATAATTTAAAATTTAATAGTTTAGTATATTAACCTGAAATTTAAAATAATAATCTTCCTCATTTTTTTTAAAATTTAGTATAGGGTCTACAGGATCTCACTACATAGATCAAACTCATAGTGATCCTCCTGGTATTAGCCTCCTAAGTGTTTGTGTTACAGGCAAGTGCCACCACACCCAATCTTAGTCACCCTTCCTGGTGGGGCTGGCATGGGTGGGATCGAACCCTAATCCCTGAGCCTGCTTAAGTAGGTGCTTTAGTCTGCTGAACTATCTGGCTGGCCCTCTCGTCATGTTATATGAAACAACTAATCTTAATTTTTACAACATGTTCCTTAAATATTATAGAGACTAATTAACATAGAAGCTAGAGTGATTTATCAGAAAAATGTAGAAGTTATATCAATTTAGACAAGAAATTCAAGTTTACACAAAATAAAAAAGACAGTTATCTAATACTGATAAAGGATAATAACTAAAACATTACATAATGCTATTTTATAGAGCTAGACAATGTCAAAATTATTAGAGTATAAAAGACACACAATAATGGAACTTCAACATATGTTAAAATCTTTCATGATTTAGCCAGGGACAGAGCTCAGTGGTATATGTGCCTGCCTGGCAAGTGCAAGGTGCTGAATTCAATACCCAGTACAAAAAAAAAAAAAAAAAAAAAAAAAAAAAACAAACAACCTTTCATGATTTAAATAGCCCCAAAGTAAATTTAAGGATCAAATTTGAAGACCATGTCTTAGCAATAAATATGCACAAGAATCAGTGCATACCACATTGAACAAACTATTTACTATGGACTTCTGTGCATTTTCCAATTTTGTCATAAGAAAAGGAAGGGCCTGCAAAATAGCTCAGCAAATTAGAGCATCTGCAGCAGGCTCAGGGGCCAGGGTTTGAACCCTGGGGCCTGCCATGCAGGCCCTGCCCCGGAGGCACTCTGACAAGGTGATTGAGACTGGGAGTGGTGGTGCACACCTGTAATCCCAGCTCTTGGGAGAGCTGTAAATAGGGGGATTACTACAAGTCCAATCTAGTAGTGAGACCCTGAATACCCTGTAGACCCTTCCCTAAAATACAAAAAAAAAAAAAAAAAAAAGAAAGAAAGAAAGAAGAATGAAAGAAAATTACTAAAATGTTGAAAATATTGAAGGCATTTTCAAGTAATACAGAAAAACCTAGATACTGCGCAAAATATTATGAACAAAAAAATCCAACATACCAAAATTTTAGGATAGTTTCTAAGTGTCTTACACCAATGAAGTATATAAAATTGTGATTACAGAGAGCACATTGGTCAAGCAATGGCCGTGACTCATCCACATGGCTGACACTGACAAAGGTTCTACAATCTGAGGTACAGGATCTCAGGATAAATCCTGATGGGATTTCACTGACCTTATCAGACCCAAAAGCTACAACTCTTATTGCATAGGTCCTGCTTTACCTTGGTCTTAACCATCCAGCAAAAAAGTATAAAAATGAAATATAAGAAGTAAAACCATGCTGTTATGTTGAGCTGTCGGGGACTCAGGTCAACAGTTTCTGACATTGCCAGTCAAGCGGAAGACCCAATACTATTATGGGCTACAGGACTCTTTTAGAATATTTTGCTGAATTTACACACCTATAATATTCAAATAACAGAACTTAACAAAAAAAAGGGGATACAAACGAATGTCCATTTTGTATCTGTGTATTCAAAGTGGTTAGGATAGATATATAGTTACATTCTCTTAATGAATAGAGAGGGATTTGTTCTAATGGCATTTGTAAATAGGATATCACGTTCGCATCTTGTAAAGCAATTAACCACTAGGAAGAATGTATGCAATGTGTTAATTATTGAAACTGTCCTACCAATTTGATTTGAAACTGTCTCGTTGCTATTTGTTTCTCAATAAAATTATGGGAAAAAAATAAAAAATAAAAAACAATAAACATAAATAAAATGAAATTGAGATTAAAAAGCATCAGGCATGAGAATGAGAGGCAACATCAAATGTGGGCTTGCCTCAGCACTGTGGGCAGAGAAGGAACCACAGCTGTCAATTTAGGGCATTTCCTTTAGCTGGCATGGCAGGCCCTGGGATTGAAACCCTGGCCTCTGTGCCATTATCCCTTTCCAGGCTACTCTAGCACACACCTCCACTTGACTCAGCAAGTCCTCATTGCCACAAGAAATTCTTCATCATCATTTAAATTTCCATTCAACTATCATTTCTTAAAGAAAACTTGGGTATCCTAAATCATTATCAGTTTTTGGTTTTATATATTTGCATTCTATTATTTGTAATATAGTGTATAAATTTTATCACTAATTCATAATGCAAGAGGAGCATACTGATAAAGAAAGGAATGCAAAAAAATAATTGAAAATTAAAACTACATTGTCAAATTAAGAAAGAAAACTACAAACCCTAGAGAATAACAATGGAGGCACTTTCTTGCAACAGAGTACAAGGCAAAAAAAAAAAAAAAAAACCTAAAAGAGTTTCACTTGAAATATCCAGAGCAGAACAATCAAGAGCTCCTGAAAGAGGGAAAATCAAGAACAAATGCAAGAAAGAAGAAAGAAGAAAGAAGAAAGAAGAAAGAAGAAAGAAGAAAGAAAGAAAGAAAGAAAGAAAAGAAAAGAAAAGAAAAGAAAAGAAAAGAAAAGAAGAAGAAGAAGAAGAAGAAGAAGAAGAAGAAGAAGAAGAAGAAGAAGAAGAGAAGAGAAAGAAGAGAAGAGAAAGAGAGAAGAGAAGAGAAGAGAAGAGAAGAGAAGAGAAGAGAAGAGAAGAGAGAAAAGAAAGACTAGAGGGAGCCTTAATGAAAGAAATCATAAAAATTCCCAAAGCAGAAGATAGTAACCAAACTTAAACTGTTCACTCTCTTTCTTTAAGGAAGGAAATCTGGATGAGGGAAATTAATTTAACTTTAGTTTTTGCTTTGATCCTTCTATATGACTTGACTTTTTTGTCTACACACAGAATTAATTTTTGAATTTGTATATATTGGAAAACAACATAGCTGCTGAATTGTTATTTCCTGGTTCCTTGTTAGTTTTAAGAGATCTTTTATTTGACATTCATTAGCTATAACACTGTCTTCAAGATCTGAAAGTCTATCTCTAGTCTCATGCAAGTGGTTTCAACGGAGTTCTTAATATCCTGGATATCTGCTTGAGTCTGTTTCATGCATTCTAGTTCTTTCTTGTATTGTTCATCCAGTGTTTCCATCACTTTTTTATTCTCCTATATTTTTCTATCTATGCCTCCTTTAGCCCTCCAAATTCAAAGACCCAATCCAAAAATGAGCATCTGAGATGAACATACACTTTTCAGAGGAAGAAATACAAACGGCAAGTAAATATATGAAAGAATATTCCACGTCATTGGTCCTGTGAGAAATGCAAATTAAAACAACACTGAGCTTCAGTCTCACCCCAGAAAGAATAGCTAACATCAAGAAGTCAGCTAATAACAAATGCTGGAGAGGCTGCAGCATTTGGAAACTTCTGCACTGTTGATGGGAGTACAGAGTGGTACAACCACTATGGAAATCAGTGTGGAGACTCCTTCAGAAGCTAGAACTGATGATCCCATTCAAGCCAGCTATTCCTCTCCTGGGTACTTTTCTTCTTTCTTTCTTTCTTTCTTTCTTTCTTTCTTTCTTTCTTTCTTTCTTTCTTTCTTTCTTTCTTTCTCTTACACTTTATCCTTTTCCAGATTTTATTTTAAAGTTTTAATATTGCAATGACAGCAAATTTCTCCTGGCACACTTGTTTAAAAAAAGGCAAGGTGGCACAAGTGCATGATTTTTCATATTAAAAATAAAAGACAGACAACTGTACAGGTTTTTTCTCCTAGCTCCCAATGTAAAACTTAAGTAGCAGCCCTAGGTATGCATATATACAAAAACACACACACACACATGCACATAGATCTAGCTCTATAACTACATAGCAAATTCCAAATCAACTGCAGTATGTCTTACCACCCACTCCCCCCACCACATCTACTTAAAAAAAAAAGACTGAAGTAAAAAGAGGTAGGGAGGTTTTTAAGCATCTGGAGGTGGGACTGGAGCCCCACTAGACCAAGCAAAGCCACGTCTTTAGAGAAGGAAAAAAACACAGAGGAAAAAAAAAAGTCCTCCAAAGACAATAATAATCCATCAAATTATGTGGAAAAACCCAAGTTTCAACAGACAACACTGAGGCACTTGGCTGACTGACTCCCCATCCTTCCCTCAAAGTTTCTGCTTCCATTAAGAGACTTCACCAATGCCATAGAGAGCCCCCACTGCCCACATCCCCATGGCTGGTTCCTAGCTACTGGGAGAAACTGGTTTCTCCAAACAGTTGTGACTTGTTCCCCTCCTCTTCCCTAAGACAACAGGGAGGCCAGAAGGGCATGTAGAACAAGGAGATAAGGACCTGGTTTAGGACCCTCTGCTGCTCTCCCTCCCCCACCGAAAGGTTGCAGAATTCTCACAAGGTGCTCAACTTAGAGAAAACCTTAAAGACACTCTTACAGACCTTTACAGTTAATTCCTGGGCTCCCTCTCCTCTAGGAGAACAAATTGCTAAGCCTGTTGTCTCCTACCCCTTCTACTCTCATAGCAACCCCCACAACACAACACACACCCCACCCAAACCTAAACCCCATAACATTAATAGCAAATCAATAAAATATAAGTACACTCTCATCATTATGGAGATGAGATTTGTTGCTGCAGTCCTTGCATAACTGGAAGGAAAAAGCGATTATTCCACAATATCTGAGGAATCCAGTCTGTCTCTTATAATGTCAGAACAAATGGGGCAAAGGGTTGCAAAGAATCAAGGATGATAGGAAAACAAAATTATTTACAGAGAGTGAGAGAGAGGAGTATTGATAAGAAAAGGCTTCCTCATCACTTCTTTCCAGTCCTTTTGGCACTAGACTTGGCTTTGGGCTTCACTGGTTTAGCCTTCTTAGGCTTGAATGCTTTGACTGGGTTGGCCTTGACAACCTTGGATTTTTTTTGCTTTCTTGGGTGTGGCAGCCACCTTCTTCTTGGCCTTCTTGACTGAGGTGGCTTTAGGATTCTTTCTTGGAGATTTGGAGGCAGCCTTCTTGGGCTTGACTGCCTTCTTTGGCATGGTCACCTTCTTGACCTCCTTCTTGGTCTTCTTGAAGGTCACTGCCCTCTTTGGCTCATCGCTCTTGGCAAGCTGGAAGGACCCAGAGGCACCCACCTCTTTGGTTTGCTTGAGGACCCCGGTGGTCACCAGGCGCTTGATGGACAACTTGATCTGGAAGTCAGCGTTATCACCCACCTTGTAGTGGCTCTTGATGTACTTCTGGATGGACTGGTGTGAGGAGCCAGCAGTGTTCTTCTCAGCTTGGATAGCAGCCATGATCATGTCCGAATACTTGAGGTGGTCTGTGGACTTCTTAGAGACCTTGGTCTTCTTGGGCTTGGATGCAGGGGCAGGTGTGGAGTTCTCAGTCATGGTGGTCTGTCTGGTCCCACTGCTGAAGGAGCCTTCCCAAGGGCCAGCCCTTGGAGGGATCTGCTCTTGGCCCCTTGGCTACCAGACCCATCTGGACTCTGGCTATTCAGGATGCAGGCAAGGAGCTGCTGCTGCTTCGCTCTTGGGTGGGTCACAGGAGGGCTGGCTGGACCGGCTCTGCATGGCCCAGCCCCATGTGGCCCAATCCCACCAGCCTGCCACTCATTCTGAACCCCTAGCTCTGGCTCTGCCTCTGCCTCCTCCACCTCCTTTTGCTCAGCTCAGCATATCTTCCTGGGTACTTTTCCAGAAGAACTGAAAACCTCATACCGCGGTGATATGTGTGCACCATGTTTTTAACAGTACAATTTGTAATAGGTAAATCCTAGGAACAACCCAGATGCCTATCACCTGAAGAATGGATAAGGAAGATGTGTTTTTACACAATGGAGTATTATTCAGCTATAAAACAGGGTATATTTGAGCCTTTTGTCAGTAAATGGATGCAACTAGAGAACACACTCTTCAGTGAAATAAATCAGACCCAGATGCGCAAACATCATATTGTCTCAGTGTGAGAACGTGAAAGAGAAAAATGGAATCTGAAGTGTATAATAGACACTGGTGAAAGGGAATGAACTTATTCAAAAGGAAAGAGTTTCTGAGTTGAGAAGGATAGGAGAGGGAGTGGGGGGAAAAGATATATCTGTGTATGTAAGCAGGATGCTTTTGAGAACTGTACTGCACATTTCTGCTGATTTATGAAAAGTAGTTAATGCTTTAATTTGTTTCATCTTCTTTTTTCAATTGTTTGTACTTTTTTCTTTTAATTTCTTATACATTTCTTTCTTCTTCCGATTCTACATGCATATATCTGGTAATATGAATAGCTGATTGGAAGACAACACTGTATTACAACAAATACTATGCAATTCATATTACTTTGTTAACTGAAAATCTGTATCACCTGTAATTTTTTTCTGTTTTAATTTTGATTTTTACTCTTTTAAAAATAAAAAAGAGAAAACAACATAAATGGCAAATTTGTGGAGATGAGATATTATGTACATTTCTTCTGTTTCCAGCTTTCAGAAAACTTGTGAATTTTCAGGATGCTTCTAGAAACTCCTGTCAACTTCCTCCAAGTAATTCCATACATGATTTGCATTCCTACAAGAATAAGACTGTGCTCCAGAGCTGCACTAGCAGTCAGGATCAGGAGCAACAGGGTGAGGGGAGGGAAGCACTTCTTTTGAATATAAAAATTGAGGTTGTTCCCAAAATCTCAGTACTTAGAATAATATTTCAGTTCAATACTTTTAGAAAATAAAAATTGATGAAAATCCATGATGAAAACATTTTAGTTACATTTCTTGTTGTACAGGTCTTGCTTTATCTTGGTCTTAACTATCTAGCAGAAAAGTATAAAAAGGAGGTATATAAAGTAAAGCCATATTAATATGCTGAGCTGTGAAAGGCTCAAGTCAACAACTTCTGTGGATAACCCACTAATATTGTGGACTGCTGGACTGTGTTGGATTGTTTTGCTGAATGCAAGCACCTATAGTATTTAGATGTCAATGGAAAACCCATATGAGACAGGACTAAACAAAAAAAAATGGGATACAAAGGAAGGACCTTGTTGTATCTGTATACACAGACCAGTTAGGATAGATATACAGCTATTTTTGCTTAATTCAGTGAGAAGAAAGATTTGTACTAATAATGTTTGGACAGGATATCCTGTCTGCATTTTGTACTATAGATAGCCACTAAGAAGATAACAATGTACAATGTGTTAATTGTTGAAAATGTCCTATTAATCAGTTTTGAAACTGTCTCATTGATATTTGTTTCTCAATAAAATAAAATTGAAAAAGAAAACATTTCAAAATTATCAGTAAAGGCATGAACGATATCAGTGAATTTTCTTCCTGGGTCAGGTTCTAGTGCAGTTCGGCATGTTGCTAACTGATACGCTCAGATTTTGGAATCCTTGGTATCTTTTAATAAGGGAGGAAAGAGCTCATGCCTTTCCCTGTGCATCAACCAAAGAAGGGCTGATGAGCAGACCAAAACAGAACCCTGAGGAGGAATGCTCTGGGGACTCTGACCCCATGAACAAAAGAGAGGCCCTGTCCCTCCTAAAATCTTCCAAAATAATGTGCCTCTTTGCCTGTTTTCCACACAGTCTTTCTCTAAATTCAGGATAGGTCACTGAAGCTCAAGAGTACCAGTGCTTATAACAGTGAAGAACAAGGAGCACACAGACATGCTCAAGGGACCACAACAAGTCACTGAGCAATGCATCAGATGTCCCATTGGAAGACACGACCTCATCAGGATCCCCACCAGTCACAAACTGGCTGCACTCAGGACTCCAGCACTGAATCAGATGAATACAAAAAAGAAGCAACGAACTGAAGGGAATAGAGCACCCAGCGTGAGAAAGAAGCAGCACATGACTCAGAGCAAACACCACCACACCAGGACTAAGGAATCAGAAAGAAGAGTAAGTGGTTCACATGATTAAATAAAGAGAAACTCATGGCGACATGTCACACACACACACACACACACACACACACACACCCCAACTTCTAAGCTTAGAAAAAAAAATTTTTAAATTTTAAAAGTAATGGTAAAGAGGAAATAATTACCATAAAACTTAGTGATGAAGTGATAAAAGACATCTAATGATACAGAGCAAGAAGTATCAATATAGAGCAAACATGCAGAAACATGCATTAGAATTGTAAGACAGACTCAGGAAGGCATGAGCATAAGATTGACACCTATCTATGGCCAATATAATTGACAGAATGATCAGTCCCAGAAGCCAGAGCTGCTTGGGTAAACAAGAAAGTTGTTTCCATCTAAAGGATTAAGAAGAAGTTCAGGAGAATTAGAAACAGAGACATCAACCTCATACTCAGTTGAGATAAATCCACTGGCCTCAAAGATCTTATGAAAGTCACACAGCTAGAACTAATACCCTCCAAGTGAGTCAAGGTCACAGCACATGGTCCACTCTTATCCTCTTCTGAGTCTGACCTCATTATCCACTTACTCCTGGAACCTTCCAGGATGCAGCCTTGACCCCACCTGGGCCAAGTGCACCCCATCCATCTTAATGTGTGCGATGCACAAGGTGATTGCTGAGCTCCGATGCACCATCCTACATCATGTGAACCCCACAACCACATGGAGCTTGATCCAATCACATTCCTGGACTCTGGGAAGTCATCAGAATAGTTTCTTTCAATTCCCAGCAACAGGCCTTGGGTTTTAAAAGACCTAAAATGGGAAAATAGACACTTCAGAAAAAAGAAAAGCTGTAGATATTGGACAGCAAATCACTTAAAAGAAACGTTTTAAAATTTCCTTGGGCAGAGGAAACACTTGAATTTGATTAGAAAAGTTCTATGAGTTCCAGGAAAGGCTCATCAAACAGATCAAGGCTACATGACATTGTGACAAAACTCCTGAATTCCAAGAAGACATACTAATATGTTCCTAACACAAATAAGTAATAATTTGCTAAGGCAAACCACTAATATTTAGCATGGAATTTCTTATCTGCAACACAGGAAATAGAAAATTGTTTATTTGCCAAAGTGAACATGAATTTTGTAAGGAATATGTGTGTGTGCATGTGTGCGTGCATATGTGTGTGCATGTCTTTGTGTACTTATACTCCACTGCATGGGATTACTAGGCAAAAGACAACAAACAAGGAAATAACAATCAGAGTAGAAATATCACTACAAAAAAATTACTAAGAACATGACTGAAATTAAGAGCAAACATGCTGCATTTGGGGCCATTTGCTCATGAAGCAAGCAAGTAAAATATGCTCAACTTTAGTATTTTCTCTTTTCAGAGAAATCTATTTTCTCTAGGCCTCATCTTTCACTGTAATTTTTTTTTTTTGTGGTACCAGGGATTGAATTTAGGACCCTTCACTTGCCAGGCAAGCTCTTATTCTCCTGAGCTATCTCCTGGCCCAATATTTTCTTTCTTTCTTTCTTTCTTTCTTTCTTTCTTTCTTTCTTTCTTTCTTTCTTTCTTTCTTTCTTTCTTTCTTTCTT